TTGCAGATAAATTAGATAGTTTACTATTTATAGTCTGAGTCTTAATTCTAGTATATAAATTTGTAACTTTAAAAAACCCCTTGTAGAATTTTACACAAATTTTAATAAAGATAAAGGCAAAACCTCATCTTAACATTAAAAAAAAAAAAAATATATATATATATATATACTTATGAAGATATTTAAACTTTTTCAAGATCTATTTTAAAAATTAAGAATTGTAGAGCATGAACAGGTAATATTAAGGCCGATCGATAAGGCTATAGAGCCCTGTATAAGGAAAATAATTAAAATAAGAAATGCAAACTAATGAGCAGTTTTGCAAATAAAGAAACTATCACTAACTAGAAAAATAAGTAATTTTACAATTATTAGTATTGACAATATCTGAACATTCTAATTAAAGTATATATGAAGTACAAAACATTTGGACAAAAAAAAACCTTAAATGCAGATCCTTGTATAAGCAATAATCAAATAATTATATCACCTAATCTGTCATAATTTCTTATAAGTACAGAATTTCTTGGAACTGAGAGCATAACTGTAGTTTATAATTAGCTTTTTGGTTTTACAGTCAAACCTCTCTATAGCCATGCTCTCGGTTCCAAGAAATTCTGTGCTTATAAGAAATTGTGCCTGTATAGAGGTCAAATTTTTTGTGTCTTATATAAGGTTGTTCTAAAAATTAGTATGCTTATAAAGAGGTTATCTCTATCGAGAACGAGTGTATAGAGAGCTGACTATATCTGTTAATATAACAGATGTAAATAGATTAATTGATAAACATTAATAAAATAACTCATATTGTTGCATGATCTATACGCCATTTTATTAATAGACACTATACTAACTTACTGCTTCAACGGAAAATTCTAAGACAATGTAGTCAGCAATAAAGAACCAATTTATTGATAGTTCTAGTTATTCTGACAACAATTCACTGACAAGTTCAATTTATCACTAACAGTCAACTCATAACAAAATAATTTTGGTTATTGTCATTAGTGTTAGGTTTAGATTTAGTGCAATTTTTCAAAAAACTTTTTAATAAAATAATTGTTTGAAATAAACTTGTTAGTGAAATGACACAAACCCTTTATTGATATCTATACCTTGTTCAAAGATTTAAAGTTAGCTTAGTGAATAAATATAATTGATTATTTCTTAATAAGTCAATACAGTCAACTAAATATAATTGATGATTATCCTATAAATATTTGATATATATTTGTCACCAAAAAAACTTCATGTAAAACCTCTAGAGGTGTCAATATATGGTATATTGACTATAATTTTTGACAATAGCTCAGTAAATGAATCAGTTTTATACATATTCTAGTTTAGCAATCTATGCATCCATATCTAAAGTTGAATTAATAGCTCAGTAATAGTTACCTTATAAGTTGATGGTTTAGCAAAATATACTTAGTTGATAACCTTGAAGTTAATTGCTTAGTAAAATGAATCTTCTGGTTAGTAATTGTCATTTATTATCCATCATAACCTTTTGCTCTTCCTTTTCACGTTTTCTTTTTTCTAGTTACTGTTACAATACTTGTCATTATCTCAGATTAGCTATTGTTATCCTTATATTTATTTTTATTTTCAGCTAGTTTCTTGATTATATTGATATATAAATTCATATTATCTATACAAAATTTGAATCGTGTACTACTGAAAAATCCTTTAAATGATGTGACAGATTCATACTAACCTCTTTTAGCATTATAAATTAATTACCATCTATTTTTGATATATTTGTTAACATTTTTCTTAATAGACATATTGTTGAAAAATCCTTTAAGCAATATAATTTACAGATCCATGCTAGACTATTTTTAGAGAATCATAGATAAATTACTATTTAAGAACAACAAATTAATTACTATTATTTTCAATTCTAGCATACCTGTTAACATTTTTTAATAGATATGTCATTATCAAGATGAAAGATATTATGCGATATAAGGACTGATAGTATGAAGGATAGGATGAATTGTTTATACACTAATAATCAGTTGTTAGAAAAAAAAAATATTTTTTCAATGAGTTAGCAGGTTTATATCTTTGTATAATACAATTTTAAGAAAGAGAATTCATTTAAATAGTTTTACACAGGGAAAAAAGAAACTTATTTATATACTATAATAAGTGTCAAAAAATAGAATTTTCTTTAATGAATAGTGAATCTATGTTTTTGTTTGTAGGATAAGGTTTCTAAAACTGCAAGAAAGGGAATCTATTCAAATGATCTTTTGTTGTCTATCTTATTGTTGAAGTTTAAAGTTTTTACAAGGCAAAAAAAGGGAATTCATTCTATCTACTGATAATCAGTTGTTGAAAAATAGGAATTTCTTCAATGAATTAGTGGGTCTATACTTTTGTAGTTATAGAATAATATTTCTCTAAAGTTGTAAGAAAGGAAATTTATTCAAATAATCTTTTAATTATACTATCTTTCTTATTGTTGAAGTTTAAACTTTATACGAAGTGAAAAAGTAAATTTATTCGAGTATGTCTGTGAGACGACTAAAATATATTTAAACTCTATCTCTTGACCTTTAATAAAGCTTCTCAGAATTTCAATTCTACAAATAAATAATAACAAGAAAATAACTTTCGTAAATAGATTAAACATTTAAATTTACTCATCTGAATTATAACAAACCTCCTAAAAAATAATAATCCTCTTTAAACATACTGATTGCAAGTATCTATATTTCTAAAGAGTCAAAAGTTATCCATAGATGATATATTTATCCAATTCCTTATGAAATGACTATTAAAGATTTTTTTATAAAACTTACAACTAGAGAACTATCCTCCAAGTATAATATTGATATTATTAATTTGGAAGCAATAGAGCGTATTGAAATAAGCAAGACCCAGAATGCAGCTATAATTAAAGTTAGCCCTAACTGTAATATTATAGAAGTTACAACAAATATAAGAATACATATATATTATCAGCTCAAAACAGATGCAGTAAAGTCAAATTTGAAGCTGCAGTGAAACTACTTCATAATCCTAATGCAGAATACATACTGAACCAAATTGTATTTTCCAAACTTCCCCTAATTAGAAAAATCAAATTGCAAACTAAACTTGTATAGTAATATTGTTAATTGGATTCAGCATCATAGTGGAGGGTAGTCTACATAGTCATATGCTAATACACAAGGAAAGCAATTTGTTACCTGTTTAACTGAAACGATTTAATATATCGATATGCATTATCATAAAAAATTAGAAGATCATAGTTATCATATACCCAAACTTTTCTCAAGTTTTTTAGTCATGCAAATTCAGAATCACATAAATACCTATGAAAACATTTTGATACAAACAACTTAAATTTACATTATTAAGCCCTTGCTCTATATACTACTTCATCATAGATATTAGAAAGTTTGAGGAAGAAGTGAGTGATGAGTTTAGTAGCAGTTTTATAATTGTCAGTATATGAAGCAAGCAAT